GGGGGGAATTGGATGGTATAATGTTAATGGCGTGACCTGTTTTGTACAGGTCCAGGAACACAATAGTTAAAATACCTACGTCAGTTTGACATCCGGACCTGTGGTTTGGGAGTGAGGGTGTGGGTGTTTTGGTGTGGTTAAATTGCTTTTTCTTTCCTTTTAAACATGTATCGTCTTTAACTCTCTTTGTTTTCCCCCCCGTATGTTACACTCAAGTAAAACTTTTATTCTTGGTTACTTATATGACCCAGTTGTGTTTCAAGTGCCGAAAAACTGTTTTACGGTGCTGGCAACTTTATAAGGTCATATGAGCGCGCGAGGCACATTAAAGATTTTCAGTTGGAAATTTTGAATTTTGCCCCGGGTGGCGGCCGAAGCCTCCTCGGATCGATTTTAGACCACCAAGGGTTCTTTAACGTGCGCAACTTGCACACGGGACCTCCGAGGTTTTTCGCCCTTGTCCAAGAAGGTTTGGTGTAGATCTTTCCTACCAGAGGATCAGTGGTGTGGCTGAAAGACAGCTGTGAGAAGGATCCAAGGAGTAGCAGTAGAAAAACTGCTGAAAGAATCAGGAACCCAGAGGAAGAGGCAACGGAGGTGAGAGGGTGGGGCAGAAAGTGGAGACGAAAGAAGATAACAGAATTTTGCTAGAGAGCAGGAAAGGAGGTGAAAGAAGACTATTTTAGAGAAGAACATTTTTCGGTCGCTACCCGGGACCTTTGAATGAGAGGCGAATACATTGACCTCTAAGCCACGAGAGCCCCGAAACACCTCTAATCTTCGGCACTACTGTGACCTAATTTTGTTGCTCACTTACTAAAACTTCAAGCTACTAGCTTCCCATTACACGTTTTCGATTAGTTGTTGTGTTGTAAGTTCTTAGTCCTTTTAAGATTCTTCTCTTCTTAAAGATATACTAACCTGATACAGGGAGTACACTGCAAGAGCTCTGGTCCGGTTGGCTTCTCTGCCTTTTCCTCCTTTCCGCTCTGTTGGTAATTTACTGTCCTTATCTTCCTGCTCTGATATGAACCATGAAGTTGGTCCTAACCTAAAAGCCCGGGTCTTCTTGTCAAGTGACAACCAGCTACTTATGCTGCCATCAATTCCCTGACGTGTACCTCTTTTTTTTCTTTTTTTCTTGTTGCTTTTTCTTTCCTCCCCTGCCCGTCTGTATTAATTTCTACAACTTTTACTTTTTTCCCTTGCGCTAAATGATAATTATTGCGACGCTGTGCGTCCCCCCCCCCCCCCATTTTCTCTTCCACAACGTTATCATTCTTGGTGTTTTTGAAGATCTCGCTAGTCGACTGTGCTTCTTTCTTTATGCTTTTTTTCCTCTTTTCTTTTTCCTCTCTCTTTTGGACCCCCCCCCTGCCCTTCCCGGACCATATTGCCGTTAGTAAACTCAACCGAAAAAAGTCCATTGTCCATTGATTCAAAATAACAAACCGTCCAACAAAAATCTATCCAAGTGAGCAATCAGCCGCACACATTATGGTGTGTGTTCCCCCCACCCCCAAATAACCACAACAGCAACAAAAAAAAAAAAAGAAGAAAAAATCATTTCGTGAGACCAGTATAAAAGACTCTTTGAAGTATTCGTCCAGTAGACTTTTTGCCCTTTATATTGGCAACGTGAACCCACAAAAAACCCCTCTTCTCACGATCCAAACCTCTCCTCACAAACAGTCCGAAGCTCCACTCACAAACAAACCAGACCACCAGCCAACAGGAACCAACAAAATCTGTACTCTTTCATGCGTACGTATTTATGTTTGTCTGTCACAGCGTCTACACAACAGTCATGTCGGTTCAGAGGAGCCGCCAATCTTTCAAGCCTTCAGTAAGAAGTAGGACTTACTGCTCATGATGTTATCAGTGCGATCACACACGGGGTCTCTCATCACACTTTTACGACGGCGCCTGTGCCGCTTCAAACCGCCCCCCCCC